ATAAAACTGGAAGGTATTCCTATACTTAGAATTTAATGTAACATTTCAAGAACTCTTCAGAATCATAACCGAAAAAAGTGCATCAGCAAATGTATCGTATATCCTCACGGTATAAGTACATCGCGCACATGAGCCGACCCATTAAAAAGCTTTAAGATAGTGGATGTATAAAATTTCGCATATATGTCGACCTTTCAAATCGCCGTATGCCACCTATCACAGTCAATGATGTTCAATATTTTTAATTCAATTTACCCCCTGTCCAGGTAAAAGTCTGTTTAAACTCGCCAGCCCTTTTTTTTCCAAACTCTAATTAAAAATAACTGCGATTGATTGATTACCAAAAATTAGGTTAGAGAATTTTTTGCAAACTGTTTAGGCTGGTTTGCAACATGTATTGTCAGGTAATAACATTAGACAAATATAATGTTAGTCCATAACATTAATATGTTTAGTTATCAGGCATAGCCACCTTGGCTAATTGAAACATATTCAATTCCAGTTTTTCTATGATGCTAAATTATTAGCAAAAAGATAGAAAAAAGTCAAACAACAATTTAGCCTGCCAAACCATCGTTAACTTTGCTAGTTGCCTCAGCCTAACCATAACACTAGTCAATTTAGTGCATTAGTGATTGTAACGATATGTCAAGACATTTTTCTCATTAATTTTATGATGAAACAACACTTTTAATTACTCTGCGAATGCGACGCAGGCTACAGATAATGAATCTGGGTTTGGACCACCCTGTCCTAGTCTATATGTCACTATCTTAGGCTTTCGAATATTGCTATAACAACAAGTATATTCAAACAGGTATAATGAAGAGATATCCATACCATGATGAGTCCAGGAATTTACAGATTTATTTTTCTTGATGAAGTATTTCCGACTAGAAATTATCCAATACTTCAATACAAACTCCTGTAATATCCATTTTGCAGATAGTTTTCCAGTGATAAAGATTTACTAAATTCGCTCTCAAGGGTCACACACAGTGATACCTAGGTAGTTAAAAGACTTCATACTGGAACAACTAGATAATCAAACAATCCGGTAGTCGCCTGAACTTTATTGTTAGTCATATATACCAAGTCATTTTCTTGGTCCATGCAGACGAAACGAGTGTCACATGATTTTAGAGCAGAGCAAGGTTGTTCAATATGCAATCACAATCGAAGTTTTGCAGTATAGTCAAAAGACAGAAAGAGCCTTCATTTAAGTTTTGAAAACCAAAAATACTCTACTGTTTTACTTTTTCAAATTCAAATAATCAAATATACATTGGGTTTCATGTGATTTAAAAATAGAATACAGAAAAATCAATACAAATATCAATACAAATTATTCGGTTTGGTCATTCCCGAGGTCAAACTTGCTTTTTCAATATCTATCTCACTTCATCAATATACAACGGTATACTCAGATTTAACCTTGTATTTTTATTATATAGTTCGGGTAATGAAGACGAACAACTGTTATGAATATGATTATGTATGTATGTTATTTGCCCCAAAAAATGTAACAATATCTGCATAATAATTAAACAGTAAAAAAGAGAGGAGATACATGTTCAAGACCTCACTGGCCTAAGACACAGATACGCGATATGCACCCCTAACAATTATAATAGCAGTTTAGGACTGGTGCGGTTATAATAGGATAACAGACATGAAATACGCTATAAAAATAAAACTATGACAAAAAACACGGTAACACACAACGACGATATGTACAATATAGTCAGTTATAAGTATAATAAGTATAAGTTTATTTCGACTCCATAATCAGCAAACAATAAATGAATGCTAAAAATAAATAAATAAAAACTGATTATGAAATCAGGAGAGCGAACAAAACCTTAGATAAGGTTTAAAACGTACAGAATGTATATAAGATGGAAGGTTTTGCAAGAAGATGTGGTACGTGTTCACTCACCTAAAATAATTGAAATATTTCTCACACGCACCCACACACACAACCATATAGAAGTTATTAAGTAAAGGGAACATGAAAAATTACATACTGGTAGTTAATAAAAAATAAATAAATAAAAATTACTTGCCACACCATATTAATAAATTTATCATGATTGCCACTGCCAAATTGATCAATTTTATAAATGGGAGTGAACGGTAAAGATAAACTTTTATAAAAAAATATATTGTCAAGCTGATTATAGATGGAGTCAAATGCCAAAATGCCCAACCAAAGTTGCCAGAATTGGGTGCATGAAGAGGTGGGCTAGACCACTTCATTGCCCAAACTAGAGCCTATTATTGCCAAATTGTAGTCCAGATTGCAATAAGTATTTAAATCTATCAGTAACTTTATAAGTATGAGTAATTATAATTAATTAAGGTAGAAAGACAGGGTATAGGAATATGTTGGTTGCTAAGGTTATAAGGTTTTTTTTTTTTTTCATTCTTAGATATTGACTTCTGCAAGGATAAAGGAATTAGGAATAAAGGAATTAGTATTGTTATTTCACAGGATCATTTCTTCATTTAATTATTGTGGCGTAATAGATTCAAGTTTATCGTGGATGAGACATCAGCCTGCGAATTTTGTTGTTGTAGACACCATTTATATTCAATAAACTAGCCATTGTATTGATCATCACAGAACGACCTGAAAAACAGAAAATAAATCTGCGAGTAGGATATTCAAGGGTTACATATTTGGAAACAGCACTACCCTACACTTTTGTTTAGAATTAATTATTATTTCGAGTAGATATTGATTATTAGTTATCTATCTATAAAACGCTAGTTCAAAGACCAGAGTTGAAATATGGTTGGGACACAGGGTGAATTCCTCGCAAACCATGCAGAAACTCTCAAACCACACTGACCATTCGTATGTTGGCCTTCACATCAACTTCACAGCAGAACCTCAAAAATATTAGATTCAACTAGTCTTGTAGACTGTAGTGGGAAGAATTCTATGGTATTTATAATAAATTGGTTTTATCCGGTAAAATCACCGAAATTGGTTTTATCCGGTAAAATCACCGAAATACACCAAAAACCGTCTGTGCAAAGACAGCAAATTACCATAGAATAAACCGTCCTCGTTGTAATCGCCATGGCAATACGGGGTCATAGAGCAACATGCGACGACGTTTTGGTGAAATGCCTCGTGGATTGTGGCGTCGGACTCATAAGTATTAAGTATAAGTTTATTTCGACTCCATAATCAGCATAACCATAAAATGATTGGTAAAAAAAATAAATAAAAACTGATTATGAAATCAGGAGAGCAAACAAAACCTTAGATAAGGACTTCATCGTAATGGCGTTGCCTCATGGCGTCGTTATTTTGTTTTATGTCAGAGTGACAAAAATAAAATTGACGGAAAATAATTTACAATAAAACGAAATTAATTTATCTTATTAATTGATCTATTTTACATATCGTACTTTACTATATGACTAACTTCACAGTATGGATGTATAGGACAGACAATGGTGAATTAATAATTACTCTGCGTGGGTTCGCAGGTTCGAATCCCATGCAGGGATGGTTATGTGCGAGAGGATTGCTGGACTCCTCGCCGTCGTTAGGTGGTTCACGTAACCGCTGGTCGGTTACGGCTTCCTCCACCACCAAGTCCATGCTTCCGAAACAAACAATATAACTAATCCCATACCCGACTTGGAATGGTAGCCGGACGAGAGGCCGTGGGTCGCCATATGGATAAGCCGTCTTATCGGCTTTCCTCTCCCCCGGGATAAATATGTAAATCCTATCCTATCCTTTTTACAGCTTTATGGTTACTTAATTTTGCCTAAATTTTATAATTTGTACCTCATTAAAAAAGGTTCGTTTTGGGGTCATATGTCCAACTGCTTTCGAAAATTGCCTCGAAAGAATTGGAATATTTCCTGACATAAACGGCAATAATGGTAACGGTAGTGAGGACAACACAAAGCGAAGAAACATTAACCACAACAATCTCACAGGTGAAGGAGTAAAATTTTCATAATTAGGGTGTACAGTACGGCACAGTTCTTTGATTTCAAGAATAGCCCCCACATTAAAAGACAACAATTATGACAGTGGGTGCAACCCCTCATTCATGAGACATCTGGGCCTCCATATCGCCACAATAAACCAAAAGGAAGCACAATTTAAAACGTCACCATTGACTATTGATACCTCTGAGAAAGTGATCCGATTTACCGAAGTAAAACAATTTACTTTTGCATTCGAGAGTTTTCAGCAAAGAAACACAATTTAGATCATGTGGTGGCCGACAAGATTGGTTTAAATTATTTTTGAGACAAGCAAGACACGATCTGCGGTTGTGCCCTCGTTTCAGAGACAAACAGAGTGTTTGTTTTATTGAACCAAATGTCGAAACACCTTGAAATGGAAGAACTAATTCTTTCTAATTCTCGGTATAAATTTGCGAGAAAGTCTTATCCTAAGCTAAACTTGCAGCTTGTTAGTCAATACTCCTGTTTCATCTTCTGTTTAATCCAGGTTTTCGTGAAGTGGTGCCATCTTATTGACTTTCCTCTCCTCAGAAAAAAAGTGGGGGCGCTGAATTCTGAAAATTGTGGAGGTTTGAGTACCACTTATTCAATTTTTTTTTCTCCAGGAGCCATCGAGCCCGAGCGTCGTTTTGAAACTTCGCAAACCTCAGTCTGACCAAAAAGTTCGATGGACAGAGGAAACGATTGACAATGAACACATGGGAAAGAAATCTTCCAAATGTAAGAAAATTATTTTTTGACTACACCTCGATTAAGGTAGGTCTCTGCTCAGAAGTAGAACAGATTAATATCTGAGCAAAATGACAGGGAAACTAGATTCATCTCGGAGCAAACAAGTGGTAACTGTAGCTAGGGTGACCAGATTAGAAACACCACAGCCATTGAAGTTTCAATAAACGTTAAAATAATCTGATAAAGATGTTTATCATGTTGAAGATATTACATTCCCCATGTTTTGTTTATTTATGCCCTTTTTTATTTTTTCTGTGTAGGATCAGTTGTATTTATGAAAAACCTCGGATATTTGGGGAGGACTCGTCGTCAGATGATAATTCTAGTGATAGTGATGACAATGCTTACGAGAAGAAAACGAAAAAAGAGCGAGCGCAGAAGAAACGATCGAAACAACATGATTGTAATGATCACGGTAAGTTCTAAATTATTTTGAGAGGGGAGAGCCCGCAAGAGGCTGATGTTGATACTGGTTCGTATAATCAAGATACAGATATAATTACACTGTTATGACTATACATATACTCAAACTGTGATAATGACATAACAATTGGTGGTATCTTGAACCTAAATTGGTAAAAACAAAGTGTTATCAGTCCTTGTTGGGTATGGGATATGTTAGTCAGTTTTTATAGACTATAGACTTTTAACCCACAGCATGCAACCCTTGCAATGAATGACAAATATTCAACGAGTTTCTTTTCCTTTTTACAGATCACAGCCAGCATTCTTCTGATCTGCCAGGACCACCCACATGACACAATAGTCTCATCCTTTTAACTTTTATACATATATATTTATTTTAAATAATTTGCTCAAAGCAAGGCCATATTATAGTTTGAATTCATCGCTCATAAACACTGATTGGCACTCCAGAAGTGTGTGTACTAATATGGGGGTAACTAATATTGTTCCTAACCTAACTTTACATCAAGTTGTGCAAAAGGACTGAAACCTATGGGCATGGGGTATATTCACTTGGCTAACACAGACAGTCCCCGAACTCGTAATAGAACTAAAATAAGGAAAATCAAAATTATAGCCTAACCCTAACCTGGTACTTATACTACGGGAGTACTCACTGGTTGAGGCAAGACATGGGCAGTTCATGTCATTACGATCAGTTCAAAAAGCTGTGAGAAAATGTTTTTACGTACAAATATTTCAAATTTTTTGGTTTAAGCGCAGATTGCACATTTCTAGTTTGAATCTTGTTCCACTTCACCCAGGTATTGATTTGCACATGAGAGAATTTCTTACGTTTACCGTTTTTCCAAATAAGAAGTTGTTCCAACCATATCATTAGATGCCGGTGGCCGCTTGTAAAAATAGGGCGATAGCATTATAACCAGGCACGAGAGTTGGTACTGCCGAAGTATGTGAACCAAGATGACGGACACCAGAACGTAGTATGTGTACCAAGTTAGGGTTAGGCCATAATCTCAGGCACAAATACTACGGAGTCATTTGGCTAGTCCCCAAAGGAATATGGAAAATTGGAATAAAATTATGGCCTAAACTGGTACGTTCTGGTGTCCGCCACCTTGGTTCACATACTTCAGTACCTGAGTTTTCACTGGAGCCGTAGTCTCATTTATTAACTCCTCAAGTCTACAATTTATATTTTTATGTATTCATAATAACGACCCCATAGGTGTTCGAAAATCATAATACAAACCGTCTTAAGGGACTTTAGGGTTGAAAAAGTCTACACAGTGAAAAATCTATAAGCCCCATATTCTAACAGATGACCTGTGGATACATCTTTTTTATTTTCTGATTGTTAATTGTAAAACATTCACCGTACTTACTGATTTAATACTTGTATTTTATATTAAACTTGAGTTTCAAAAGAGTTGTCAATGGGATGGATGGCATGATAGCGTTTTTGTATTCATCGTGCCAGAGAGGGAAGTTGTTGAGATTAAATTTGTTAGCCAGTAAGTGGCAGAGAGAAATACAGCATCCCCCACTGGGTGCGAAATTACGAAGGGTAAACAGAGATGGCTCGATTATATCACAACTTTCTGCTCATTACTTATCGATTTTAATCGGTAAGTATGTTGATAGGGATTTGTCTGTATGTCTGTTAGATGCACGCGATATCTCACGAAAGCAAGATTGAATCTGCTCCAGATTTTGCATGTGCATTCATCTTATCTCGGACCTGAAGCCTATTGATTTTGGGCGAATTATGTCGTATAATTAGAGAGTTATTAAATAATTAGTGATGGGACACAAGGTGTCACTATGGAGTAAGAGCGCTGTTTGGGGGGAACCCCAAACTTTTGATCGATAAGTCTTGGTCTCTGACCGATATTCTCGTTTATATATTTCAGAATCATGACCGGGACTGTGCGACAGACTACTAGTACAGTCACCTGGTTAAAATGTCCAAGCAAAAGTCTGCTAGTTTGTCATGAGATTGAGCCAATTTTTCCAAAGGATTAGAACAGTCGCTCTCAAACCGAGGTCTGGAACGATTTAATATGGCTCGCTGAAGTTGAAGTGGTTTCGGTTCCAATTGGTATCACAGTCTCTTGCAAATAAGTATCCATCCCCTTTTAATTTCGGCCCTGGTCAATCAACTTTGGGAAGCATTGTTAGAAGATCTAAGTATCATCTTAGGCATCTGTATAGATCAATTTAACTCAACTTCCAGAAAGAAATTTTTCGACTCCAGCTCTGGGCTCCAGAAAAATCAAATTTTTGATCCAAATACCCCGGCATATGGAAACCTCCTGTAACTGTCAATTTAGAAAGCTTTGTCAAGTTAACAATTAGAAATCTAAATTCCCGACTTGTTCCAGGACTTCCCCTTCAAAAATGCAAATCAATCAACTTGCATATCTACCACATTTTGCTTTAATTATTGTAAATTTGCGCTGGCACATACAGAAACTTGCCAAACCTTCAGTAGGGAAAACAATAAAAGTTGCGAACACATAAAAAATCTGATAATCACAGCAAAAGATGTGGCACCTGGCAGTATTGGCTGGACACAAGTTAGAGATCCCAGGTTCAAACCTCATGTTAGCCACCCTGACAAGTGTATAAGAAACTGGGTAGGCAATATCGAACCGGGAGAATAAGTGGGGTTTTGCATTTCAGTGAATTTTTACTGGATTCTCGTTCAAAGCAATAACGCCTTGAAAATGGATGAAGTCAAAGTTTTGCACAAGTTTGCTAAACTCTGACAATATAGCAGAGGTCCCCAACCTTTTATGACCCTTCCAAAGGTTTCTAAGCCTCATGGCCCAGTGGTATTTATAGTGGTATTAGGGCCTTAGCCACTAGACTTCGTCACATTATTTTTGCTCTACGAGCAAAGGCTTTCGACCATTACTGTGCTTTCGCACTAAAGTGCTACAAGTTTGCCTGACCATCAAGCAACGAAACTAGGAAGTTTTCTTGTCAAGGGACAAGTAAAATCTGTTCTGCACCTTGTGACCCCTATTTAACGGCGACAACCCCTCGTTAGGAACTGCTGCGCCAGGGTAACTACTATTGGGGCTGAGTGGTGGTCTCTTATGTGTGATTACCGCAACCAGGGAAAGCGATTTTCAACAAAAAAATTGATAACATTTTTAATTAGAAATATAGTATTTACAAACATGATTAGGAATAAATTTAGCAAAAAAAAATTCTGAAAAATAACAGAAATCATGATTTAATACTAATCTATAAATACTATCAGCATAATGGCCTAGTGCACGGGTCAGCAACCTTTAGCATTGGAAGATCCGTTTTGCATTCTTTCCATCAAACTCGAACCTCCTCGGAGTCGCAACATCTACTCTAATGTCAGAACTCAGAGAGATGTAATAATTATTAAAACATAATTTTATCAAAAAGGGGGCAATCTTGCTACAATTACTAGCGCTGATCATAATATGGGGCTCTATGCAACCTATTCTTCTGCAGAAAAACCATGATTAAAACAAAATTTAGTTATAAAGAGTTATCTTGCTACAAAAACCAGGGCTATTCATTCATAATTTTTATTATATAGTATGTGTACCAGGTCAGAGTTAGGCCATAATTTTATCGCAATTTTCCTTATTTTAGTTCTATTAAGAGTCCCGGGAACTATTAGTCAAGTTTATATACCCCCTGCCCATAGGTTTCAGTCCCTTTACACAACTTGATGTAAAATAGGCGAACAAAATTAGATATCTCCATATTGGTACACATACTTCTGGGACGCCCAATAATTTGTGGAAAAATGTTTCTGAACATGGCCTGATACATTCAGATTCAGAAACATTTTGGATTCGGAATTGCAAATTATGCATTGAAGAGAACGCCACCCTTTTTTCCTAACAGAATTCCTAGAAAATGAATAAAAATAAGAAAAAAAAACAGAAAAAATTAGTTCAAAATGAATAAACATCACCGGGCTAAGAAGTACAGTGTTAATAAAACAAGAAGAAAATGAAAAAAGTTGAATTAATTAAACATCAACCTTGACCCGATACAGAAGCGACTTGACTGAGAAATAATTTGCTCAAAGCAAGGTGTTTACACTCACTCAGAAGCAACGTAGACTGATTTTTAGTGAACCTAAAGGCAACCACTGTACTGCCAAAGCTATCTCACATCTATGATAAAGAAACATAGCGATGAATGAGAAGTTAGTACTCAAACTAACGTTTTCACAATGAGAGTGCACACACGCACACAAAAAAAATAATCGTTCCGAGCCATTTTTAGAGGGTATGCTTTACCTCACCGTTTTAAATAAACAATTAAGGAAACTTGCAGATGCCAGAGTTTCATAATCAAGATTTAATTTTCCCTACATTCAGCCGGAATGAAAAATATTTTCCAACATAAAGTCGGCAGTCGATTATAAATTTCACCGGCTCTGAAGCCCTGGTCTGGTAACCAGTCTAAATCAGGTATGAGAAAGGTGAATTACTACATTTTTCCAGATTCTGATTTTTGAAAATTAAGATCATAGAAATGAAATCTGAAACAATATTCACATTAAAAAACTTTGCAGCAGTTAAAAAAGAGGTCAAGTTAACTTCAGTGTGATTCAACATCAAAAATAAGGGAGTTTGTGAAAATAGCAGCACTGACACCTTTATACTAGCATTAGATAATTCTGACCAGACACGCCTCAATGGTTATATTAAAAGAAATCGTATTGAAGTTTTCTAAACACAATAAACAGACACAAAATTGAAATAAAAAACTATTAAAGCAGCTAATGTGTAGAAGAGTTGTAAGTTTTGATTATTAAATTTTTTCACCGATGTTAGTAATGAAGGCCAGCCTGTAGGGTGAGATTTTGACACGATTTCATTGATGTTCGATATTTTGAAACCGTCCACTTTATGAGTCTGGAAGTAGATATTCGAATCTTTGAGGCCTGAATGACTTTTTTTTCAGAGTTCGTGTTTGGGAGCACATCCTAAATTTTCAGAGTTTGACAAGTTTTTTTTTCATGATATTAAATGTATCAAAATTTTTTTGCGATTTTTATTGATATCGAAAGAAAATCAGTCTTGAGCCTAACGTTGTGGCCCCCCTACAATTGCTTTGTGGCCCCTTTGGGGGGTTACGGGGCCCCCACTTGGGAACCACTGCGCTTAAGTTTTACTTCTATATTTCCATGTGTGTTGTCCCATTTCAACATGGTAGTCTTCAATCGTTGTTCTGTTAGTGAAAGATAGATGTCAGACAACTGTGTCTTAGGCCAGTTAAGACCTTGTTAATTTTTAATTAATTATGCGGGCGCTTTCAAATTTCGAGGCTAATAACTATACATACATACGTCTGTGCGTAAATTTCCTTACCGTAGTTGGTTACTTCATAATTAATGGCTTATTTCAAGCACTGTATTTATGATGCATAATTAATATTTCATTTCTACAACTGCACAATGTTAGCTCAACGTGACATAATTAGAAATAAAATTACTACATGGCAGCAAAAACATCTTCAATGGTGGCACAGGAAGTTAGTGGCATCTTAACCATGACAAAGAAAATGGGAGGTCAATCCCTCAACACATAGTTGGATGATATTTACTATGGCAGCATGGCATTTAAATGGGGTATCAAATTGATTTCAAGGCATTATTGAATGTTTCAAGGCATTATTGAATACCTCAGTGTCTCTAAAATCTCAGGGCAGTGAGTGTCTTTCCAATGAAAATAATTCTCTCCATGCCACGCTAGTAGGTGGCATGGTTTGTTTTGATGCCACTGCCTGAAACACAGGAACTATGTTACATGGCATTAGTACACTTTTGATGCCACAATTTTTATAAACGTCATTGTTTTAAAATACAATGAGCAAAACAATGGTGGCTATTCGATGCCGTTTGCTGTGATATGTCGTCATTATCGGGGTCCACATTAGGAGGGGATTCCTGTTTGGGACTAAAACGGCAGCGCTGGTCCTCGATTCTTGACGATTGCATTCGAACAATCAATCTTCGTCTGGTATAGTGGGCGTTAGCAGCACCGGAGCGTCGAATATGGGAGGTGACGAGCGCTGGTCATTTAACCTCGTGCTCTGAAACAAACAAAAAAAATTAGGTCTAAATATTTCATTTTGATTAGGTTCTGATAAAAAATTGTAGCCTTATAGAAAAGATTCTTGGGTACTCCCGTAGTATGTGAACCAAGATGGCGGACATCGGAACGTAGTAAGTGTACCAGGTTAGGGTTAGGCCATATTTTTATTCCAATTTTCCTTATTTTAGATCTGTATCTGATATTATGGCCTAATCCTAAACCGGTACACATACTATGTTTTTATCTATTTTTTTTTGCTCAAATCAAGGTGACTTGCACTCACTCATGAGCAGAACTGGGCATTTTCGAATATCTGATGATTT